CTTTCTTTTTCTTTCTTTTTTTGTAACATGCTCTCTCGGAAAGATTAAGTGACTTCACTTAAAAAGACTGTCCCTGCTGGTCGACAGTGCAATCTGAGAATGTTGAACCCCTAACAGGCAGCAGAGCAGTGGGTACGAAACAGGACTCTGGAATCAGACTGTCTGGGTGGAAATTGGTTCTATCACTTAGCAACCAAAGGACCCTGGGAAGGTCAATGGAAATTATATCCATATAAAATGTATATATATATATATATTTGTTTGTTAATCCTCACCCAAGGATAGTTTTTAATTGATTCTTTTTTAGAGACAGTGAAAGGGTGTGAGGGGGAGAGAGAGAGAGAGAGAGAGACATCAGTGTGGGAGAGAGAGAGAGAGAGAGAGACATCAGTGTGGGAGAGTGAGAGAGAGAGAGAGACATCAGTGTGGGAGAGAGAGAGAGACTTCAGTGTGGGAGAGAGAGAGACATCAGTGTGGGAGAGAGAGAGAGACTTCAGTGTGGGAGAGAGAGAGACATCAGTGTGGGAGAGAGAGAGAGAGAGAAACATCAGTGTGGGGGAGAGAGAGAGACATCAGTGTGGGAGAGGTGCATCGATTAGTCTCCTCCTGCATGTGCCTGGATGGGCCCGGGATCAGACCTGAAAGTGAGGTGTGTGTCCCCGACTGGTAATCGAACCCGAGACCCTTCAGTGTGGGGGGGGTCAACACTCTAACCACTGAGCCACACAGGCCAGGGTGGGAATAGCATTTTTACTTATTTTATAAGATGCTTGTGAAAATTAAATGTATGTGAAGTGCCTGTGACCTGTTAAAAGGCAAGGTTAAGGACAGGAATAGTAATAAATATTTTTGTATTATAGCCGATGTTCAGTTTTCTATGTTTCTTGATGTGAACATCATTACTGATGTTTTGTCAACAACTTCTTTACTCACTGTCAGACCCTGAATTGCTAAAAGAGAGAAATCATGTTTTGGGTTTTATAACCGTAACATTGCTTCTCCCTCAACCAGATGGTGGAAGTAGCCAACATACATATGGCATGTACTTCATTATGTGCTCACATCAACTTTATTTAAAACACTTGTAGGCATTAGGCTCCTGCTCGCAGTGTAGACAGAGAAGGTGCCTGAGCACATGGTATATAAGCAATATCAGCCAAGAGTTCCTGAGCACTTACTGAGTTCCAAACATTGCTCTGTTTTACAAGTATTAACTTATTTAATTCCTACAACAACCATGTGCTCTGTGAACGAATACTTTTCTCTTTTTAAAGATGAACAATCAAAAACAACAACAAAAGATGAGCAAACTGAGATTTAGAAACTTGCTCCAGTGCAAATAAGCCAGAGTCAGGATTTGAACTCAGTGGCCTGGTTCTTAAACGCTCGTGCTCTGCAGTCTCTCAGGGTGGGATGTGCGGCCTCAAAGGCTCCTGAGCGCTGCTTGGTTTTCCCCAGCACACTGACCGCTGCAGCAAAGCCTGGTGGCCTCTGCTCGGTTAGCTCTTCTAGGCTACTGTTAACTCGCAACTCCGTTACCCACGAGGCTAAGGTGTTAAACCTACATCAATATTTTTATGACAAATAGTGAGATCAACTGGTTAAACATTTATTAGGCTCCCGAGCTTCACAGGGTAAAACAGTTACGACAGGTCAGCAGAGAGCATCCTAGGACAGGACACTCTTGAAGGCCACTCCATAGGACTCCAAGGACATCACAGCAGAAAGAGGATTGGGTTGCTGATGCCATCACGCTGTGACCAGCCCTACTCCCAGAGCTTATTTGTTGCTCTTAGGCTCTGTAACACTCCCGATTGTACTCTTTCATTGCCAGTCATTCAGACTCTATTCCTGTGCAGAATTCTAGAATTCAGATTTACAAGAGCCTTAGAGGCCTTCTGGTCTATCCCTCTGCCTTTACTAAGAAGGAAACGGAGGTACCATTTGCTTACGGTTTGTCCCCACTTATCTTAGAGGGAGAGTTGGAGCCCCGTTCATTCAATTATTATATATTGTTTGTAATAATATCCTTTAGTTATTTCACATTAAATAGCACCACCTTGAATCCTTCCTGAAATTTTCCTGTTTATACCAATAACATTTTTCTTTTAGTGATGAACCCGAATTTAATGGATAGCATCTGTTCTTTACGGATAGCATCTTTCTATTTATAATTCCTTTCTTCCTTCGCTCGAGACGAACTTTTATGGGGCAGGGGAACAAGGACAGTTATTAGAATATATTTTAAAATCAATTCGTTTTCTCACTGGAAGCCATGAATGCAAGTAACTCAACAACCTAAGAAAATGACCATAGAAATAGGACCCAGGCAACTTCAAAGCGGGGTTTCCACAGAACGAGCGGGGAGGGACTTCCACTTACCGATTTCAGTCATTGTTATCCCCGGCGCTAGCTGCCCGTTGTTGAAAGAGCTATAGGTGAACAAGTTGGGCACGGACGTGAGGTCATAGATGGGCTCCTGCTTTATCTGTTTGATGCCAGTCATGTCCAGTCCCGACTGATCCGGGGACGGCTGGCCGGAGTCCACGCTGTAATAACCCTCGGACTTGGGCAGGTCGATGGCGTGCCCGTTGGCGTAGGTGCCGCCGGCCTCGCCGCCCAGGCCGCCCAGGCTGCTGCTGATGCCGCTGCTGTAGACCCTGGCGAGGGCTTCGGCCTCCCCGCTCTGCTGCTGCCGCTGCTCCTGCAGCCGCTGCTGGTGCTTCTGCACCTCGGCGTACAGGCTGTCCCTTTGCTTCTTGGACATCCTCCCAAACTTCACAGCTGGGGCGGAGACAAGAGCAGAAGCACCACTGTGGTTACCATTCTCCTCAAGCACCTCAGGTCGGAGGGGCCCCGGGGGCGGCCCCTCCACATCGAAGGCACAGGCGCCCGGCCCCGCAGCCCAAGAGCCGAGGCACTGACGCTCCATCCTCGGTGCAAGGCTATGTCCTTGGGCATCCCCACTGGTTTATGTGCATAGCGAGAACTAAATCTAAGCTGGGGAGAAATGTGAAACCTTATGTATTTCTTGTTGCCATGAAGTTGGAAAGTATATTTTTGTTTTGGCACGAGTATTATCTACTTTCTGACTCGCTTCAGTAGAATAGTTTTGCATTTGTTAGTTTAAAAATTATAGGGAGAAAAAATTGATAACGAGAAACGCTTCTAACATGAAGACGGAAAGGCAGCGTCTCCCTTTAAACTCTTTTCCGTTCAATCCTTGTTTTAGATTTCTATATACTCTATGTTTAGGTGGATTATACATTGTGGTGGATTGATTTTATTAATGATCCTGATTTCTCTCACTTCCTTCCATTTCTTCTCCAGGTAAATTTGCAGGGCCCTTTCGTCTGCGTAGGCATTCCTACCCCACCCCTTGACTCAGGCTCATGTGGCCTGCCTTGGGCCAATGGGATGTTGCCATATGTGACACAAACAGAGGCTTCCAAAGTGCTTGTGTGATTGAGTGTCTCACCATCAAAACGACACGCCTAACCTAGCTTGCTGAAGGATACGATATGTGAAGCAGAGCCGAGCCCGCTCAGTCATCCCAGCCAAGGCCATCCATAATCAGTCCAGGCAGTGACTGACCTGTAGCTGATGACAGATGAGTGAATGAGCCCAGTCAAGACCCTACATTTAACAATGTTAAGTTCAGAATTCTGCTGTTAACCATAGATCTCGAAATCAAAGCTAACAATGTCAAATAAGTATGCTGTCAAGACCTGTGCCTGGTGAACATCTGAAAACTCAATGGTGAATAATTGTGCCTTTTCCAAGAAATTAACTTATCAGGTCACTGAGCAAACTGAAATACTTTCAGAGAAGCAACTTAAAACCTTACTACCTTTTGGAATTATCAGGCTTCATACTAAATCACTGACTTTACTGACAATTACTATAATACTATTTTAGAATGAATTTTCCATTTATTTCAGGAATACTGATGAGCCAGTAATTTCAGTTTTATGCCTCTTTCTGTAATAAATGTAGTGACATATTTGGGAAAAATTACAGTACATGACAAAAATAAACCTACTGAACATTCCTAATATATAAATAATTCTTTGTCATTATTCGTACATACATACATTTGTTATATTCATAGACCTATTTCCACAAAGGCTGTATTACTATTCTATTGTCAAATATTAGCGTTCTTCTTACCACTAACCATCAATCAGAATGGCACATATTTTAATTGTTCGCCCCTCTCGAACTTGAATTACTCTGTTAATGAGATTCACTTTAGTATAGAGGCAGTCTCTCGTTAAACTGCTAGCTCTCAAAAGAAACTAGCACAATGCTGTATACATTGCAAGTGCTTTATAAATATTCAGTGGTGGTGATATTTGCTCATGATAAGCTCTTAACCCTCATTTTGATCCCACACTAGCAAAGAACAATTTTACGCAAAATATCGAAAATCTTTTCATATTTATTTGGATTGTGGGATTCTAAATGGAATGAAAGTTTTGGGAGTAACCATGAAACACAGGCATTGCTTCTTCAAAGACTTCTACTCACTACCACTTGTTTCTGGTTTCAAGATAACACAACGGAAGAACTATCATCTATGGCTTTTCATCATCTTTAGGCAATTATTTTCTCTTACTATTCTTGTTTGTAAAGTTCTCTATGTTTACATCTCTCTACTTACTAAGGAAAATGGTATTAATGTAACTCTTAAATTTCAAGGATGTGCCTTTTCTATAGTGTTCTGAGCTTTGCAGAAAAAAAATCTGGTTCAATCTACTCAACCCTATTAATAATTTAGAGATATTCCTTCTCTTCCTCCTCCTCAAGTATCATCCAACAGAACTCCCTGTGATGATGGAAGGCTCTCTCTCTTTCCAATATGGTAGCCACAGACACATGTGGCTATTGACCCTTGAAATATAACTAGTATGACTTAAAAACGGAATTTTAAACTTTATTTAATTTTAATTAACTTAAGTTTAAATAGTGACACTTGAATACCATATTGGATAATGCCATTCTGAATAAGAAGCTTACTTTGTGAAACCTGTCCTTGTAGGACAGCTTCTATTTTTTCGTAGGCGCATGTCATTGGGGAAGACACATATTCGATTACTGCAAGGTGTGGGCGTCATGTTTTCTCTTTGGAGCCCAATATCTTCCTACTAATGCTAAACATTTTTCTATTTTTTGTTTGGTAGTTTGTAGTAGTATGATTGGGAACAGTTTCCATTAAATATTCCTGCAACTAACATTTTTGAAGGATCCGGTTAAAAAGAAAAATAAGGTGGTGGAGAAGATGCAATAGGCATATCCGTGCTATCAAGTCACACACACATATACATGCATACCTTCACTTTATTATACACATAAACACGTGTATATATTCCAAGTGGAATTTATTTTTGAGTCTTTGAGTTAAATTTGAACAACTTTGTTATTGCCGAGTTTGTTGTCTCTTCATATATGTGCCACGGAAAGAATCAGTCTTTTCTTCTGCTGGAGCCCCTTCTCTGCATTCCCAACCACCTCTCCCATCCTTGAGCATTTCTCATCACTACTTTGACAAGATGTGCTCAGGAGGCATTTTAGAAGATGTCTCTGGTATCCTCAGCATGGTCTCTGAATCGAATATTAAGATGGATCATTATCCTTAATCCCCAGTATCCTTAGACACTTTTTCACTTTTACACAGAAATTTATATACTGCAGTAAATTTCTTCCCCTTGAGAATAGATTGTGGCTGTATCCATTGAGTGACCCTCCCTCTCCCAGCACAATGCTTTTATGTCATGGGATTCAGACAGTCTTCCAGATTTTGTGGGCTGATGTCTGTCACTGATTCTTCCTGGGACCGTCTGCCCATTCCTTGCCTATGATTCTGTTTACCAGCACAGACAGACCTACAAGATCCGCACTTCCAAAAGGGGTCTTTCCTTTTATTGTAGGAAGAAGTAACAAAGACAAATACCCAGTGACTTATTCTTTTTGGACAATTATTAATGTTTTTTTCCAGATTCTTTCAATTAATATGCTACCTCCATATGGAAGACATAAAGTACAAAATCATCAACTCAAATTCCCATAAAATTTTACTAAATAAATCTTGAAAACCACTTAACCTCCACTTTCTACTTTCCTCATTTCAGTTATGTGGAAGTACAGTGCTACAAGTTCATCCCAGGAGTAAATTTATGTGCTTAGTAAGTCTAGAAAAACAAATAAACAAACAAAAAATCAGTTAGGTAATAAATAGAAAAGTTTGGGGAACTTACATCTCTGCATCTTTAGAAGCTACCTCTAAACTAAAGAGCTCAAAGTCAGATTCTTTTTTTCTTTTTGTCAAATTTATCTCATAGGTGTACTTTTGTGCAAGACAAGTTTAGTTGGGTTGAGAATTAGAGAAAAAGTAAACAAAAATGCAAGATATAACTATTTGGAGATTGCAAGCTAAGGAGTAACAGTTTATATGCTTAGATATCAAGGCCTATGTGGAGTTGAATTTATCCGAATGACTAAAAGGCCCACATTTAATTTAATAATTCATAAAATCCCTTTATACCAAGATGCATTACATGCCAGTTATCCATTTAAAAAAAATCTGGAAGTATTTATTTTCTTTTTGATTTTTGTGGGGGGCTAAGTCCACACCACCTTGCACTTCATTAGAGACAGTGTGACCAGAGGCATAGAGTCCATAGTGCTTCACATAAAGAGAGTAAGTATCAGGGGCACTGTGTGTGTCTCAGGCTCTAGGTAAAAGAGACTGCCATGGTTCATTAGACAAACATTTAGGTGCCTGCTTTTCACCAGACCCTGAGGATACAGTGGGAACAAGACAGAAATGGCCCCAAGACTCAGGACTGCTCACAGTCTGACACAGGAGTGCAGTGGCCCATGCCAGTGGGGCAATAATTAGTTTAGATGAATGCTTAAAAATGGAAAAAAAGCTAGATGGAATTCTTTGTTTGAGTTTACTTGTCCTCTTTTATTAATCTTAGAAGTTCAGTTCTTGAGTCAAACCACACAGTTGGGTTGGGCATGAAGGTGAGTGTACACTTGAGTCATATTCTGAGAAGGACAGTACCTGCACAACCCTCCTAAGACTTGACTTGCTGCTGTAGTGTTTGGGATCTTCATCATGACTCAGAAGAGTCTGCACCCTTATCTGAATAGCTGTGACCTGCCAGTGGAGCTTCTGGGCTTCCTATAGAAGCACATTCTGTTCCTTAGCATCTCTACATACTATGCAACTTGTGCACCGTGACCAAACGGTTCGGTTTTCCTAGGACTTCCCAGTTTTAGCTCTGAAAATCTCATGTCCAAGGAAACCAACCCCTCATTTGCAGGCAGACCTGGACAGGTGGTGATCTTTCAATCTTGGCCTATATGGCTTTCACCTAATCTAGTTAGTTAGCACAGGTTGCTCCACAAGCTACAATAAAATCTTTACTTTCTTCCTATTTCATAGGCAATACTCTATTTTTATACGTTCTTACTTTTCCTCTTAATGCACTACCAGCATGTTCTATTTTCTCCTTCTTATTTCTAATTCCTTTTGTCTATAACTCCTCCAGCAGCTTAAAGAGACTCCAGCAAAGCATCCATTTGAAAGTCTTTATGTAAGAACTAGGAGGGCAATGCCTTACCATCTCTTGACATTCCTAGGGCAAGACACTTCTGCAGTCGGCAGTGTTGGCAACGGTTTCTGTTGGTTCTGTCAATTAAACAATTTCTCTGCCTTGGGCAGGAGTAAGAGGCATTGTTTTGCTGGCTCCTCCTAAAGAATCCCTGAAGGGGAAGAAAGAATGGGAGGGAGATAGATGTATAAGAATGGGAACAGAGACCATTAACATATACCCTTGCTACATTTTCTACAGTGAACATAACTGAGTTTAATTTTTAAAATTCTTTAGATACCTCTCCTTGGATAGCTTACAGATGTTTCTACTAGGGAAAATATGAAGATTTCATTCATTCATTTATTCATTCATTCATTCATTCATTCACTCATTCATTCATTCATTCATTCATTCAATGTTTACTAAAAACCTTGCTAGCTATCCTGTTTTATGCAAAGAAGAGCAGAACAGAGCTTCTGCCCCAAAGAGGAGTGGGAAAGGAGTGGCAGAGGAAAACGATTATGACAAAACTGCTAAGCCAAATATGACCATACTTGATGGGGACAGTAACACAGGTTTATGTCAAGTGCCGTGGGGGTGAAGGGCTGAGGTACTGGTTGCAAGAGCAGAACTGAGGAGTTTGGGCTCGGTATGTACCTCTATCTTCCTAGTTTGTAAGGTGCGTTTTTGCCCATTTGAAAAATTTTGAATTTGTCCAGAATGCATCTGGAAGGTTGTTTTTTTGAACCAGTGATGTACCTTACAATCAATCACGTCTTCGAATAAGAAAATAAGGCATACAAACTGTTCAATAAAAAATAAGCAATAAGTAAAAGCTGAATCAATGCTCTCTTCTTGGCCTCAGGCTATAGCGATATAAAAGATTTTCATGTAAATAAGTTTGGGTCCTTCTGGTACAAAAGGAAATACCATGGATCATACATTACCCTTCTGAATAAACCCACGTCTGAGTTTATTAATTTTTTAATCTTTGGATACCACTTGCCTTAATTATCTTATAGAAAGCCCTACTGGGAATGAAACATTTTCTCCAGAGATATGAAAGCATCATTCACCTATTTAATCAGTTTCCCTAATCCCCCTTTACTCTTGAATTGCAACACAGTAAAAGGGCACAGTGCTACAAACAAAGAGGTGGTCTACAGATTTACCAAGAGGAATTTTAGGAAAAGATAACCCACAGTAGCATCTTTTGCAAGAGGAGAACTGGAAAAGTTCCAGGTGGCAAGCCCAATACCCATCTTGCTGAGAGGCCCGGAATCGGTCACCTGACTTCCATCAAACAGCTCCCGTGTCTCCTCAACTGTCAACCAGAGATAGAGTGGGGCTGGGACTAGGTGAGGCTATTGAGGCAATACCGTTGGCCACAGCATTTTAGGGTTGCCAAAAGACTTGGTAATCAGGATAACTTAAAATCAGGATTTTTAACACAGTTTGTTAAAAATCAACACTAATGCAAAAAACTCCCAAGAGTTTGAATAAAGACAGGATCAAGATTAGTATTGTCCTCTGTTTCAGGCTTCCATATAGCCTGGCATGGTACTGTGGAGAGAGCTCCGCCAACCTTATGAAGAACCTCAGAAACGGATGTGTGGTCAACTATGTTCATGGAGAAAGAGTGCCAACTAGTTTTGTGATGTAAGCCCCAAGCCATACAACAACATGCACTAGTTTCATCACCACAAATACATATGTATTATTTATTTAATGGACCAGTGGTGGCAGAATGCGATATTTGATTGTCCAGTTCTGATGAATTCATGGAGCCCCTTAAAATAGAGATCATATCCAACTGAGCCCCAGGGATGGAAACGATGTATTTCATATACCACGAAAGCTGTCAGAAAGCATAACCTGAGCCCATTGGTACTGATGAAAGATAACTTGGAATTTACATGTTGGGAAAGATCGGGTAGTTTTTAATCTTTGGATACTCTAGTGCCACTTACTTAACAAATGAATTGACAGAAAAGGCTCTTCTGAAGTCAGAGCTACAGCCTTAATTTAAGGCCAATTTGACATTAATTATGAGGCATTGCTTGCTTTTGTGTTCTTCATTATTGCAAATGAGGTTTTTGGCATGAAAAAGAAATTGTTTCAAATTTTATTGAATGAATAGAAATGGGAATAAGTGCACAAGCTGAATTGGTGTTATTTAAAATGGGTTGTTTATGTTGACTGGGAAACAGTATTATAAAAATTCAGAGGTTGATACTAAATGTGCTGACAGTGACATCTTATTCTAAACAGAATCTCTTGAGCTTTCTATTTGGAGGAAAGTGTAGCATATTTACAAATGTGGGTTTTTCCATGAAATTAAAAAAAATAGTGTGATGTACAATGTCATTTGGACTAAAACCTCAGAGTATGCTCCAGAATAGCAGCATCATTTCTTTGATTGTGGATTCCTCCTTTAAATAGAAGAGATGACAGGAGCCTAAGCACTTGTTCCTGGCTATGGACCTGTTGGAATATATTTGTTCAGTAGTTTGGAAATTACTGTTCTAAATGTTTTGCTTCTTAACATGAACATATCCTCATGTTTGGAAATCAGATATTTTCCAATGGAGCTTTTATGCAGTGAAACACAGTACATCTCCGCTTTAAAACTAGTCTAAAAATCGTGTGCACGTGTGTGTATGTGTGTGTGTGTGTGTGTGTGTGTGTGTGTGTGTATACTGTGTAAACTAGAACAGGCCTCTTAAAGTTGCACAATAAACTAACACAGTGGTGGAAATACTTTCACTGGAGAGGGTTCTGATTCCAAAATTATTTACGTTTACAAAGAAAACTATCTACTTGCCCAGGGGTAGTAATAACTTATCCTGGGAGAGTAAAACACTGCTGATTTGTAATTTTGCTTTATTGCCCCTTCTGATGAATTGAAAAAATTGCATGAAGGTGGTAACATGCAATTCTTAACGGTGGGTCTGCAGAAGAATGAAAGGCACATCTCGTGATATTCGAATGTGGATTATTACAAACCACTTCTAAAGCAGGTCACTATGTTGGTGGGTTAGTGCATCAATGTTACTTGCCCCTCTCTGCAGCCCTCCCTAACTTTATTTTCATTCACTTCTTTTTTCTCTTCTTCCATCCAGTTTCAATTCCAGGAATCCTGCTTTTTTGAGGCTATGATAAGACATTGCCTGTTTCGTTTTATTTATATTTGAAAGTCTCTTAAGAGTAAGGTTGGTTCTTAGAATCTATGATTGTGCTACATCTCTTTCAGTTTACTGATCATAAATGAGTGATTTACTCTCTTGCATTTTTGATCAAAAACAGAAGTGCTTTTATCAGTAACTTTGCCAGTGTATCTCTTTTTCTTGCGAGACAATAGCTGCATTTTATTTGTTCTGATTCCACAGTGCCCATTAAAATTAGTTGTAGAACTGCTTTTATTTCCCCTGTGATATTTGGTCTCTAGCTCTTTCTTTCCTTCTAAGGATTAATTTAACAAATTTACTGTTAAGTTTCAAATTTCTCTTATTTTACATTAGGTCTATGTTAACTACCATCTCCCCAACTGTGTTTTATCTATCATCTATCTGTCTGTCTGTCTATCATCTATCATCTATCTATCTATCACCTATCTAGACTGGTCCAGAGTATACTTGTGTCTGCACTTACATTAATTTAAGTAATTTTAAACACCTTGCCGGCCGCAGGGGCGAATTCCGGCTCAAAATAGCCGGTTAGCAAGGTGTTAAAAGCGACTTGTCGGTAGGAATGGGTTTGTTTTGGAAGGATTGGTTGACTCTGCCCTGGAGGGGAAACTGCATCAAGAATGAAACTGCCCCGCGTGTTGGCCCTACTCTCTCTCCAACCAGATCAGTGACCTTGGCCAAATGACATAATCTTGTTTATACCTCAGGGCCTCATTGAAAAATGAGGAGGTTGGGCAGATGCTTTTTAATTAATTTAGAGATTACCTGGCTTACTTCTAATGTTTCATGCTTCCAGTTTTTTCTTTTTAAAATTTTTCTAGAGTGTGAGAATAAAGGGTGGCCATATGCATATTGCAACCGTTACTTTGACTTATTACTCAAACATAAATAAATAAAGGCCCATTAGCTTAAAATCTTTATTTTAACCTTCAGTTCTATCATATAGCAATAAGTGCCCTGGAGTTTACTGAGGACAGTACTGTTAAAAAAAGAAAGAATCAGCATTTATATCTCAGTAAATGTGAATAATTCACGCTTTTACATAACAAGCGATTTTTAAGCATCTGCTGACCCGTTAGACAATAGCTAAAAGGTGAAAGGCCAAGACACGGAAAACCAACCCGCCCACCCATCAAGCAAGAATTCCTGAATGTCAGCAGCAGGCCTTTAGAAAGGTGTCACCGCGTGCATCAGGAGGGACACGGGTGCCTGAGGCAAGGCGGGTGCTGTGGGCTGCGGTGTCTCAGCCCCATACCTTGCAGCCTTCGCACGTGATGACTCCGTAGTGGATCCCGGAGGACTTATCGCCACAAATTTTGCATGGTATCACTTCAATTTGTGCTGAAAAGGGAAAACAGGCATTTTGAGCTCACAGAGTTATCTTCTCACTTTCACCCTTTTACCTCCCTCTCCACCGCCCCCTGCCCTGACCTTAGTGTCGAAAGCCGCTGGGGTGGGAGCAGGGGTGTGGGGTGGGGTCATCTGCTATTATTTGAATGGCCTCCCTAAGCCTCTTCTAATTGAAAGGGGCTCCACCTTGTTTGCTTTCTTTTCCCCCTCAAACCAAAAAATAAAACCAGAAATCAGAAGTTTTGTAAACTCTTGCCTTCATCATTTTCTCCTTTATAAACTTGACCTTGAAATACTGTGAGTCAGAAATCCCTGGGACCTGAGGTTTTGGTTTTCTTATTTTGCTGTTCAAAAATTAAGTCAAGAAGAGCTACCACGTTGCCTTATTTCAATAATTTTGAAGATAGGTAAATAGAGCAAAACTGGAGGGGATGGTGGTGAGTTTATACATTATGTGGCTGAATGCTCACTTGTGAAAATGTTGGTGATAAATCAGTCAAATGTTTATTGAGCATACTCTATATGTCCACGAAAACAATAAACGTTGTTAAAATAAGATACAATATACACACTAGGAAGATTTGCTTTTCCTACTCCTGATTTAAAATATGCAAAATATGCTTCAAAATGCTTTGTCTATCAATGTGCCACTTGGATGCTTTTCTACAGTTTCTAACCCTTAAATATACAACACAAACAAACAAAAAATGCAAGACATAATCCTCTTTTTCTTACTGTTCTACACTTAAAAAAGATAACACTTTACTTTAAATTTTTTAAAAATTAAATATTTCGTGGTAAGTCTAAATCATCTTTACAAGCAAAAAATTCAATGTTATGTTCTATGAGAAAACTGAGGATTGAGGTGGCTAAGGATGCCCTTGAGTTGACTTGGGAGATGGCAGCCAGAAATTAGCCAGTTTTCCTGATACTTCATTCAGTAACCCTTTCTTGGCCTCCCACAAAGATAAAACATGAATACAGTTTTGAATTTCTATATTATTCCAGGAACACTGGATATAGAGATATTGATAAAAATATCAGAAAAGACAAAGTCAACTGAAATACTTATGCAACTGTGTTTATTTGCTTCTATTCTTTTAGCTTTAAGACCACATGAGTTAGTAGAACATCAAGATTTCATAACGTGGAGAAAATGAGAAATTTGATGTCATGCATTCTGTTCTGGTTTCCTTGATTCCAGTCCCTAATAGGTTAGTGACTGGAGCCATGGCAAAGATAAAATCTCTGATCTTGTTTTCTGGTTTATAAAGCTTAGCTGACAAAATCCATAGTTTTGTGATGATTAAATGAGATATTTTATGTAGAAGTGCCCTGAAAATAGCAGAATTACAAATTGTCAGCCTTCACCATCATCAGCATCATCATTGTTAACTGGTATTACTCCTGCTTTGGACAAGAAATATCATATGCCACATTATTATTCCTTTATTAAAAATATTATTTTAAAAATAACAAATGAATAAAACTATAAACTATTTGTACTATTTTTAAAAGTGATAACCTTTTGAACAGTAAATTCTTTGCAACAATTACAAAATTGACTAAGAATCCCAGGTATCCATCGTACAGTTGTTAGGCTTATATAATATTAAGTCAGAGGGACTCTTTGCATAAATTACTCCCCAGGGAGTAACTTACACGTGGGGAGAATCTGCTTCAATAAGTTCTTAATTATAAAATGATCTAACTCTAAAGGAAATGAAAATAGAGGTAATTTGCCCCCTGGGATGTGAGAAGATGTTTTTGAAAGCCACAAAGGTTATCTTATACAACTTCGGAAATACAAATGGGATAAGATGATTCAATAGAGCATCTGCATATTTATACATATTTATAATCTTAGCTCAACATGTAATCCTGAAGAACCATAAACATTAGAACAGTATTTTTAAAGAGAAAGAAGCACTTAAAAGGGTATATGTGTGTTGCTGTGTGTAGGAAGGGATCATTGGTTTGGAAAACCATTTTTACTTAGCACGGCAGAATAGATCAGCTGAGGTCTATTATAGATGAAGATAAACTTAAATAATTTGAAGTACTAATCCTCTTCTCTCATTTAAAATGAACTGCTTCTGAGCTACAACTTCATAATTCATTCAATGTATTTTATAAAGCACATTTTCCAGACAGAGTATTTCAGATGCTGATTAGGACAACAGGTCACATGACTGCTCCAATATTTGCCTTTTCTAAACATCTTACCACGATACCAGCCATAGTCTTTGGTGCAATTGCCTTGCAGTGAATACAGATCTGGTGACATGCGATCTATCATGGTTTCAAACTGAGCATCTAGGGAGGACTTGGTGGCTTGGACCTCGCCACCTGTTACAATGATGATGTGATAAGGAAACTGAGGAGAGAGTTCAACTCATGGATTACTTCAAAAATAGCATTCTCTGGCAGATAAACATAGAGGGGCTGAAACGATCTGAGAGATGGCTTGAGATATGCTCATTTCTCAGTTGTTCCATTTCTTTTATCTTCTTCTTGCTTATATTTTTCTGTTGGTAATCCTTTGTGGAAACTCTAGTTAAAATCTCATTTACCAATTAAAGTTTTTGTTTATAAAAGCAATCAGATACAGTTTTTCTGAAATGATATTCTTACAATGCCAAAGAAAATCATGAAAGATTTAAAATTATTTCATGTTTTATCTTGTATTAGAACAATCTATGGAGTACAATTAATTTAATACCCCATGATTTGGCATGCAGGTCTTATTTAACAGTTATAGTGTAGTCAAAATTTGTCTCTTGTTTGAAGATGACAGTTTTCTCTCCCCAGTACCTCCTGAGGGCCTGTCCTGGCTCAGAGCTCCTTCCCATCTCACAAATCCACCGTGTGTGTTGAATTCCTTCTGCTTATCAAAATGTACATATCTTTTGTTCTGATCTCTTAGAACCCCCTGCTTGTGAAGAGACGTGTTAAGTTAGATTAACCAATATAGGCCAATGAGTTAAACTAGAAAATGTATCACTTTGATTCATCAAAATACCTTAACTTTTAAAAGCAACCATCGGGAATGGTAATAAGAATGGGCTGATCAGGTACTTTCTGGTTGGAGAAAATGTTCTACTGTGTGTGCTCTTCTGACTCTCAGTTCCTATCATTCCACCTCTGACAACTCAACCTGGACATTCTTATATTCTGGGCATTATAAGTCCATTGAGGACAGGGTCCAGGTTATACTTCTTTTTTATATTTTCCGTGGAGACCAAAAGAGAATTTTTATAACTCTTTAAAGTAATGGTCTTAAAATTGTTTTTCTTTCAGTACAACTGAGAGATTTGACACACTGCCTTTTATAAAAGAGGCTTTATGCAGTACTGATTTCCCATATATGAGGTGAGGAGAAAAATGTCAGAATCTTGAGATTGGGGGTAGATACGTTCTTTGGAGTATGCCCCCAGGTGACTCAGATATGATATGATAAGGCCCCACTGAGTCTTCAATGAATCAAGTTATTAAGTAGGAAATCTCTGCAGCATGTAAACCATCTGTAAAGAAATAAAACCTGGGATCAGGCTAGAATTTGAAAATACTTGGGAGTGACTAGTAATTCTTTCTCTGTTTCCTGACCTTTGGTTTGGGGCTATACTTGTGGCATCTTGTTTTCTGCCCACCCACCGTTGTTGTTTTTTTCCTTAAGGGAAATAAGAAGCATCTACTCAGTCTACAATAGCTCCCATCCAGGGGCACTAGGTTTGCCTCTCACTTTCTGTTTCTGAGAATTTTAGTTATGCTAAAAGCAGACAGTGAAGGAAAAACTCTTCATGTCTGAGTAAAGCACAATTCACACATATAAAAACTTCCAATAAAGATGACTATTTTGGTTAAAAATCCTTTTGCAGATGGTCTCAGTAGACCAAGATGCATTTCTTCTACCCAAATTGCATCTCATCCCTCCTTTGTGGCAAATGCACGTTGAAATCCCTGTCTGCACGCTGTCGTCCTCTCACTGGCAGGCCAGTAAGTGTCTGAAGGGAGTATAAGACCATCTGATGTCACATAACAACTCCCCTAAAGGATGAAGTGAACGCTCCTAAGATCTGGCTCCACTGTAACTGTGATTCATCAGAAAATAACCCCAAGGGGAACAAGGGGACATCTGTAATACTTTCAACAATAAAGATAAATTAAAAAGAAAAGGAAAGAAAAGAACCCCAAGACTGGGGTGGGATCGAAGTGTGGAAAAATGAGACCCTCAGGAAAAAGTAAGTCTTTGAGCTTTTGTCCTTATTTCATGCTATATGGTGATTGTAAAGACTCCTGATGTTGGGTCAGGCTTGTGTTTGTGTATATCTCATCAGGCACATGACGTCTTTATCCCAGCTTCCTGCTTAAGTACCAAATACAGCACATGAAATTCAGTGCACTCGAACTGTTACCAGAATGCCCTCCCATCTATCAGCATTTAGGGCCTCCCTTTCTCTCACACTCTTCTCTGTAACATTCTGGGTAGCAGTCTGTATCTCTCTATTCCATTCAGTGGATAGTTTCTAAAGGACATAAAGATAACATTTACTTTTACAATGTTATAATTTCCTAACCTATGTATCATTGGAAACCAGAGTAAGAAAAAATATTACTGTCACATGATGATGACATAAAAATGACTTTTTCAAAGACAGGATTTGTAAAATTATCATGAAGAGAGTGGATTTATCTTTTCCATAGAAACATTTACCCCTGAAGTGCCTGCCTACTCTCACTCCCCAGAAGACTGAAATAACAGAGAATGTAACCCACAAAGAACAATGACAATGATTAGGATTATCATTAGTGGCAATTACTGATAAGTTAAATATCTCCTTTGGAAACAAAGCAAATCACTTTTATAAGTCATAATCATTTTAAACTAATAATTTATGAATTAATTTCCATTTAATACCTCTTGTCTTGCCAAAGTTTTAATTATAATGCGATAATGTGTGTGTAGGAGCTGACATTCACTCAGGTTGAAAGCAGTTAATGCCTTCCATGACCACTCACAGTGTGGTCTGGAGACTCTGGCACTGGCATGACCGGGGAGCATGTTAGAAATGCGGACCATTGAGACTTATTCAAGACCAATTGAATCAGAATTTGCTGTTTAACAAGCTCCCCAGGACAGTGTTCAGGTTTGCGAAGAACTATTCTGTGACGCCCAGGTAATTCAGTCCTAGCTACCCTGAGAATTGATGGGATTTTCAATTTCTCTGGCACTAGGAGAAATTAAAAACATCACAGGATTCTGGAAAAGTAGTTTCTGCTATTGTTTTTAGGCATTTCTTTTTTGTTCAAAAGACAGTAAGACAATTAAAGGATTATTTACAAAAAACTCTGGTCATTAATTGACAAGGCAGAAGAAAGAGAAGCCAGTGTATTCCCAGAAACATCTTGCGTTACTGTAACTAACACCCAGTGTACCGGGTTTCCTTTGCAGATTTAACGATTGTCAGCTGTGCCTGCATCTTCTTCACGTCCTGACACAGTGTGGCAGTGTGTCCTCCCTCTTCTGTGGACTGCTCTTGGGGTCGTGGCCACGACCTCACTCTCTGGATACTGAGTACGAAAAAGCCTCTCTTGAAAAGATTTTTAAAAATAGTTTTTCTATTTTAAAAATTGAATTGCACCAAGTTTCCTTCTTTTGGTGGCGGTAAGGAGGTCAAGTAATGTTTGAAACAGAAATGAACTCATTTCTGCTCTTCATGTTAATTCTGGAAATGAAATCTTTGGAAAGCTGCCGCGCCTCGTGGGGGCAGATTAGTTAACACAGAGTTGAGAAGCCGTCAAGCCGGTACTCAGGCCTTTCCTCTCATCCATCCCAACGCTGTCCTTAGACATGCACTCAAAGCGTGGCTCCTGACCAGCAGCACTGGCATTGCCTGGGTGCTTGATAGAAATGCAGGCACTTAGGTCCTACCCTAGACCGACTTAATCAGAATCTTCACAGTACCGGTGTCTCTGTGATGCATGAGCATAGTAAAGCTTGAGAGGATCTGGAAGAGAGGAAGGCAGGACATTCTACAGCTTAACTCTCAGGGTGTCTGCCCCAAACACCAACTCTCTGTAAAGAGAGCTTTATATAAAAAAAGAAGACATGTACGCTACTTGATAGCTATTTTCTCCAGCTATAAAAAGAAGAAAACAGCAATTACTTTGCTGCAGTGAAAACCTTGTCTGTCCTTAGTTCCTTAATTTGTCTCTGAGCCTTTCCCTAGTGTCCATGTAGCTGAGGCCTTCAACGGGAAGGTCGCGTTCCCGCAGCACCACCTCCCCGGGGAGAGCAGGGAGGGAGGAGCCGCACACTGTGCTCTAGACTGTGGTCACTGTTCTACATTCTTTTTCGAGAATACTTGAAAAGACCAATTAACAGGGATATGCTTGATAGATAGAAAAATAAAGCTGTTAAATTATATATCTGACGGTAGACAATTCAAAGGTTGGAACAGGATCATTCATTGAAGACACAAACCCCAAGAAAGCCCCAAGTAACTAAAATTTGGGTGGAAAGCCTGCAATGTTCCTTCCCATTCTCTTCATTGATAGCAGCAGTGGAGGCCATCCCTGAAGTTCTCAGCACTTGTTCAGAAAGTATGAAAGTAAGAGAAACATGTCTCTTTCTGCCTAGCGACAAAGAAACACTAAATTTCTTGGAGTGTGTTAAAAACAGACAAGGTAGAGCTACGAGGGAAAGAACAATGACATACGTATTCTAAAATACAGTGATCACAATCTAACTTCAGTGCCTTTTACTTGAAAAGAGAAACCTTGTAAAATAAAATTGGCATCTCATTTTTTAATGAGATACCTGAGTAGATTATATCCACATAAGATGAGAATGTTTGTATCATATTAACATTTTTTTCTTCCTAATGTAATAATAACTTTATTTAATTGGCTCTTAACATCCTATAATTTGCTTGGATGGCCAAAAACTAAATAGCACTGTATTTTGTCACACTGTCATATTTACAAACACTTCTCTGTTTTTTAATATGCTCTTAGCCATGGATGCAACAAGTAGTTACATAAACAAAATTTAGAACATAGGTGAGATATTTAAACCTGGTGTATATGTGTGTGTGCTTGTGTGTGTGTGTGTGTGTGTGTGTGTGTGTATGAGACAGAGAGAGAGAGAGGAAATGGAAAAAAACAAATCACTCCCAGTAGCCTCAAAGACTTCCTTTGCCATCAGAGGGTTGATTTAGGGAAAAATTTGTGTGAATAGGCACTCCTACAGTGACATTAAGGAGTTTTCACTTAGAGGAGAACACTTTGGACATACTATGGCACCAGTGATCACTGTACATGAACACAGATTTTGGGAATTCATTTTGTGGACTGTCTGCAAGAGCTTTGATTTTGTTTTTAACATAGACAATGCTGCAGTATCAAAATATATCACAAGTTTCTGCATCAGGAATTACATTATTATATCACTTACGTTCTACCGAATTTACTGTTCAGCCCCCATTGCTTCAGCACTGAATCTTGAAATAAAAAGAAGTTATAGAATTGAAGAGACCATCTTAATTTGTACTTTATCTCTAGAAACAAGAACGAGTTCAGAGGTTGGAGAAAAGAATGTTTGGGTTTAGTTCATTCTTACATAGATGGCCTTTTTTAAAAAAGAGGGGAGATATAGAATTTAAAGGAAGGTATTCTCATCTGCACACAGCAGCAGAAATTATTTTAGGGATAAAATGATTAGTTAAAATGTCACTTTAGAAGCTCTCATATTGTCACTCTATGCTAACCAACACAAGGCCCTATCAGTGCACGCCTGACAAACGTGGAATTAGTAGTGCACGGCTCCCTCGGACTGAAGTGCCCGTTCTGCTGATACTGCACACTTTCCCTAAAGAGATTACCAGCATAATCCAAAATATTATAGGACCCAAGCTGTCTTATTTTTGAGCTCATCAGATCCAGCACGCTGCACGTAATCCCTACCGGCTTTCTGCAGCGTTCACGTACTCTGGGGAAGGAGCTGTACGAACGCGATGACCGAGTAGTAAGAATAGGGACTGTGATTTTCAAGTTCCACTTTAGCAAGTTTCTGCCTTTTGAACATTCTTTCTCTACAAGCAGAACACTGATAATCATTGCTTGATAGTTTGTAATAATATTCGCATGGAGATGTTTATGGTTGTCTTTTGCGAGCTGTGTTTCTTATACATTAATTTCTACCAAAGGCATTGGGTGCTTCCAGGTGGACTGAACTGGCAGGAGAAAGTGTTTATTTTGTTTTTGTTTTTTGTCATTTCTTTAGAGGTTTGAAATACTTCTAAAGCAGTAGAGATATTTATTTTGGGGGAAAATAATAGAGGAAAAAGACTGGTGAAAACCAGAAATTGCTAAACATAAGGCCAAGTATTCTACTGTAGTAACTTGAAAAACTCTGCAGCTTTAATTTAGAGTATTCCTTTTAATTCTCCCCACAGTTAAGAGGGAAAAAAATATCAGCTTCTCTTTGCAAAACATAAAGACAATTATTCATATAGTTCCTTTAAAAATGAGTTGTGTGTGTGTATAGAAACGCAAGTTCCTAAAATAAAACGCTGTGTTTTATGTAATTTTACAAGAGAGGGAAAATTTATGTTTTTTTCCTTTAACACTAAATCAGTGGAGAGAAGAACATTTATGTTCACCTATCAGCCTCTGCTAATTGTAATTCAAACCCAAAGAGGATTAAGTACATAGACGTTAATATGTCCAGTGTTATTAATTTCTAAGCAATAATAGCAACAATATCCTGAGTAAATCTGTCAGCTGTAAGTATAAACAGTTGTTTAAAGACTCTGTTGATGTCAGGACTGCAATCTGCTCATAATCACTTATTTCACCCATAAAGTCTTTAAATACATATATTTTGAAACCAGTGTATAATTGTATTAAAATAATATTCTTTTCTAAAAATACAAGCACTAGGAAGTTCTAAGCATCATGGAAAGAGGTAATTCTGAGTTTATATAATATCTGAAGAAGTTTTAGTTTGATTAGTAACTTTTTTTGAACAATCATAAGGTTTATATTATTTGAAAAAAATGATTATATCAATTCACATCTTAATATTTCCAACTGTTGTTCATGCTATGTAGTAATGACAAAAAAAAAAAAGACAATAAATCATGCATCAGATTGCCCTGAAATATTTTAAAACGAATGCCCAGAGCCTGCCTATATTATGAAATAATGCGTGTGTAGAGAATTATGCACTAACTTACATGTAAAACATTTAGGAGAAAAAACCCCACAAACATAATTCATCTCATTGTTAATTATCATTCAACAAAATAGAATTTTTTGGAAAATAGATTTCTTACATATGAGAAAGTGTCTGGTATATTTATAAACAGAATTAAAAAAATTAGAAACATCAAAATGATCACGAGGACAGCAATGCCAATAACTAAAATCAAAACTGCAAACTGTGATGAAGTTGCTCATCCTGCTAACTGCATGTTAGTGTAATGTGGCAGATGACTATTTCAGTTCAGTCTCAAAACCTATGCACTCAGCAATTCACTTCCGGATGTGATAATATTTATATACAAATATGTTCTCCAGTGTAAAATAAAGCCTGAGTGACTTTTTCTTATATACACTCTCAAGTCAGAAAACATTTTATTGTTCCCACACCTAGCCACTCATTTATTTTACTGACAGCTTCTAAACGCTTACTGTCCTGCGTGGGAACAGTTCACACAGCCAAGTGTCACAAGAGGAGAAAATGTAAAACTCACCAGTGGCGTCAGCTTTGGATTTGAGCTCATTCTCACACATTTTGACGTTGCAATGAAAAGTCTAACTGAAAAATATTGCACTTTTCGCTGGCGGTCTGACGACTGCCCCTCTGCTCCCTCACAGCTAGAATCCCAACAGACTGCATTAATGAGATTAAATGAAAGGGGGGTTAAAGGCATCGACTGTTCCATTTCATTAAGTCAGGGTGAAGGGCCGCCCAGGCAAGGGGGGCGGAGGGAGGGTGCTGGCTTTTCTTTTGGATACTACTTATTCATGAAAGAATGCAGCATTTGCTGAAATCACAATCAGAAGTTTAAAAACATCATTTCCCCCCTCCGGAATTGTACAGACACATAGAATTTCTGCACTTCAACTCTTTTTTATTTTCATCCCGTTGGAATAGGCATATGCCAGGTAACAGTCACCTCTGTGATTATAAATGTACAACACAAATTTCCTTCAGGATTCGTTTTCCACATTTAGCTTGGACCCTCTATTGAGGTCCAGGGACAAGGGATCTTGTAAACGTATTACCACGCTCTGTCCCCCCAAATATCGGATGGAAGTTGTCTATGCGTATGAGCATCTTAAAGGCAAAGAAAATGTGCGTCCCTTACGGCTGCAGTGGCAACACAGCTTGGGAACCAGTTTGGGACTTCATCCTAGGTGGGTCACCTGGCCCCAGCCCTGAGGTCCAAAGTGACTTTATTCTCCCAGCACGCCTCAGTGCTCGCGCTTATAAGAATGATNACTTATCTAAGAATGATGAAGACACACAGACAGAAACTTCTGATCCTGAACCCCTGTCACCNGCTTATAAGAATGATGAAGACACACAGACAGAAACTTCTGATCCTGAACCCCTGTCACCAGGAAGGATAAATATGTGAATACGTAAAATTTGCTTTTACTGACAGAAAAGAGTGCATGGCCTTTATCCGAGAGCAAAATGCACACATGAGTATGAGCTCCATTGAAATTTTGCTTAGAGTTACTCAATTGTTTCCAGGATGAATCTCAAACCATTCTCTTCTCCCCTCACCTCTCCATTACTTTCGACAGCTCTCATTTTCTTTTCACTAATCCTTTATCACAAATGGTTTCTTTTCTTTCTTTCTTTTTAAAAAATATGTCTTTATTGATTTCAGAGAAAGGAAGGGAAAGGGAGAGAGAGAGAGAGAGAGAGAGAGAAACATCAATGATGAGAGAGTCATTGATCAGCTGCCTCCTGCACGCCCCCGACTGGGGATGGAGCCCGCAACCCGGGCATGTGCCCTGACTGGGAATTGAACTGTGACCTCCTGGATCCTAGGTCGATGCTCAACCACTGAGCCACACCCGGCCGAGCACAAATGGTTTCTTGATCTCCTTCCTTCTGTTCCTCTCTTCTCATAAACATCTTTGCTTTTTCCTGGCTCACATTGTAGTAGAACTACTTTTTGATGGGAACAAAGGCCGGGGGTGGAGAGATGATTAGAGGAGGCCGGGTAAACCCATCAAGTATTATTGTCAGCATGGTGGAGCTGAGCTCAGTGGATGCCCATTGAAACAATCTGGAGAATTTAAAAATATCAATGCTCAGAGATTTCTCTCTAACCTCCCATTGATATGTCTGGTGTGAGGCTAAGGTGTCTGGGGTTTTTAAACATTTCCAAAGTGATTCTAATGGGCAGCCAGGACTGAAGACCCCTAGAATGTTTCTCAGAACCACCAGAGACATGTGTGAAATGATAGATCCCTGTCCCCACCAATTAGTGAGTCAGAATCCTCTGAGGAGGGGCCTGGAAAGGTATAGTAATAAGCGTGCAGGTGTTTGCTGTGATAGGCAAATTTGGGAAAAACTTGAGGAAAGAGCCTTGGACTTTGAATTAGAACATCTAGATTTGAATTCTTGGATAAGTTACTTAACATTTTCTGTGCCTCAAGTTGTATATGTCTAAAATAAGATCATAACACCTACCCACCAGAGTTGTGTGAGGAGTAAATGTGATAGTTCTTAGCACAGAGCCTGGTACATATTGGAAATATACTTGAAAATAAATCTGCCTACCTTTGCTTATGAAAAACACATGCATTTTGGCTATTAACTCTGGTTATCATTGTTTATTCAGCCAATATAATTAATTAATAAATTAATAATAAATACTGCCCAGCCAGGCGTGGCTCAGTGGTTGAGCGTCGACCTTGGATCCAGGTGATCGGGGTTCGATTCCTGGTCAGGGCACATGCCCGGGCTTGTGGGCTCCATCCCTGGTTGGGGGCATGCAGGAGGCAGCTGATCAATGACTCTCTCATCATTGATGTTTCTATCTATCTCTCTCTCTCCCTCTCCTTTCCTCTCTCTGAAATCAATAAAGATATATTTAAAAAAAGATTTCCATTAAAAAAATAATAAATACTATTTGTACTAGGCACTGAGAAATAAATATTATGGAGCCCATAGTCCATGTGTATTGAAAATACATAAATTTAATCCTATTTAAATTCTTCCATTGTAATTGTCAGTTTTCTGTATAATACTAGAAATAATATTTTTAGAGGACCTTTTGATAATAAGTAGGAAAGTCATTTAAAAACTCTTTTTGGTCAGAAAATAAACATATTTGGGGATACCAGATGTTTCCTGTGTTATAGTTTAAATGAGGAGACAGAATTGTTCTCTGTGAACTATTTAAAGGGTATTAAATACTGACTTGTGTGGCATATAAATTTATAGGCACCATTCATAGGGTGCTGGAAGCCAAATCTCAGGATTAGAAAGTTACACATCCTCATGCCTCCTAAGCCTTGAGAAATATTCAGCTCCTGCTCCGGAGAAAGAAAGTGGGTACCAAGAACATCAAAACAGGCTCACTGGCATCTTGATTACCAGAGCATGCTCATTCCCCTGAAAACAAAGGTCAGGGTTGGAGATAGGAGCACATGCATAGGGATGGGACTCAGCCTATATTAGGGGCATATGGTCAGGAAAAAAGGAAGAAATTGTTGGGATTTCTCTAAAGTTATAATTTTATCATATCACTTTCTTTCTAATAACTTTTCAGCTCCCTATGATTCACAAGATAAACCTAATCCCCTCCTTGGCCCGGGTTTTCACGCTGGGTCAGCTCTGTCTTCAGGAACACACCCTGTGATCCAGGACCAAAGGCATCCATCTACCTTCAAATTCTGACCTCAATTCCTCACTTCTTTACCTTTTTCTACTTCTCTCTCCTCCTTGGCCCTCATGAAGGCCTCACTTCACTGTGCTCCAACTACCCACATCTGGCTTATTTTTGAAAACACAACTCAACTTGTACCACCTCCGCAAAGCATCCCCTGACCACTTCATCCACAGGGATCACCCTGGGCTCCTTTGTCCCCACCACTCATTTGGTCCTGGTGTTCTTCACTAATCCTCATTATATGCTTGCCTTTCACCTTGACTGTAAGCTCCTTAGGGCTAAAGCCCTCCCTCTGGGTGTCTCCCAGTGTCTAGCTCAGAGTCCGTGCAATGTATGGAGTGGATCAGTGGGTGAGGGCACACCTGCTGGCCGACTGCAGCGCTGGGGACCACAGATGAGTCTCACTGCCCACTCCCACCACTTCCTTTCACTTGCATTTCACTTTGGTAGCTCATCTTTGGGGCATCTAAGCTTATGTACTTACTTAGTGGAGATGAGAGAAGGTTAAGAAAAAAGCCCTTGCCTCTTTTTGCTCTTTATTTAATCAAAATTGGTTCTTAGTATAGGAGCAAGGAGGTTGAAACAAAAAACTTCTCTTGATCTCCTGTTTTCCCTTCATCGACTACCTTTCCTTTCATCCCCTTTGTTTGGCATTTAATGTCCACTTTATATTATTGTCCCACTGGTCTAGTTTTTTTCTCTGTCCAGTAGGTATATTTCTTTTTCTCTGGGTAGGAGTACTATCATTAGAGGCAAGAGGGAGTTGATCTCTCTCCTCGATGGCTCTCCCTTGACCCCATTCCACTATAGGTGGTGGCTATTAAACACTTGTCACACCAACACAGTACTTAAACTGTCCCTGGTATCATAATACATTAAGCTAATGGGACAAAAATGTTCTTTAAAAACCTCCTAAGATCTGGGGGTAAATGAGACATGAATCTTCTTAAACAAAGAAGTATCATAAAAGAGAGAGAGCTTGATTTTATAGGAAACTGTCCCTGTTTAGCACTGTGGTTCTCAAAGTGTAGTTCCCCAGAACAGCTGGAACAGCAGCAGCGCCTGGGAACTTGTTAGAATGCAAATTCCTGGGGCCTGGCCCAAGGCCTCCGGAATCAGAAACTGATGTGTGTGTGTGGTGGTCGTGGGGGTATGTGGGTGTGTGTATGTATATGAGGGTGTGTCCAGCAGTCTACATTTTCACTCTCCAGCTGGTTGCAATGCACACGCATGTTTCACAGCCACTGGTTTACAGTGTGGGTTTTCCAATCAGGAGGAGCAAGAGTAAATTTGCAGCTCTCACATACTAGTTGTGTGGTCTGGACAAATCATTCAGTCTTCTGACATCTGTTTCATCATTTGTAAAATGGTCATAAGAATACCTACCTGATAGAAGTGTTGAAGAATTTAAAGTGAGATGTTAAAATATCTGATTCCTAAGAGACATATGTAGACTATTTCAGTAAAAATTTTTGGAAGACCAGGGATTTTTATTTTACAAAAGATAAAATAATTCTGAAGTACAGAACAATATACTGTTTTATATGTTAAAATCAGTATTGCCAAGAAAAAGGTGTGAGATTAAACACAGGTAAGAATTAATCATCAGTAATGCCAGATGTATTCATTATTTCCATGATGTTGCCCCAATTTAATGGTAGAAAAGTACAGAGAAATGCTAAAATGTAGGCTCTAGAACAAGGTTTCCCAACTTTACCATTATTGATATTTGGGGCTAGATAATTGTTTTTAGGGGAGTTGTTCTGTACATTGTAAACATCCTTGGTCTCTATCTACTAGATGACATATTACCCCCCACCCCATGGGCTGTGAAAACCAAAGAAGGTTTCTAAATATGACCAAATATGCCCTGGG